TTTTTTTTATATATAAAAGTCACTGATTTGTCTCTCACTTCCCTTCAAGAATTACATGATCCCATTGAAGCAAGTCTTCAGCCCACAAGAAATGGAGGCTATTTTTGTCAACTTTGAGGTAAGCTGCCGGTCAAGCGAAGAGCTAATCTGCCTCTGTGGCATGGTTCAGTGTGCCTCACATTAGATGAACAATTGAACATGGAGAGCTGATTGAATGACGTGTGTTACGCTAATTTTCATTGCAGCAATATAAAAACACAAGATCCAGTTTATTTTTTAATACCCTTTAGAAACAACTAATGAGCAACAATGATTTTTACAAAAGTCAGAAAAAGAACGGGAATAATATGTGTTCAATAGGATTATTTTTTTATTGGTTTTGTACTCTTAAACAGCAACAGCCCAGTTTGTCATACAAACAAAATGACTAGGACAATTTAATTTGGGTTTTCAAGCAGAACCTGAAAGGTGTTTATTAGAGATTTACCAATTATTCTGACCTAACTAACCGATGCGCCGATACGTGCAGCCGATTTTTTATTTATTTATTTATTTATTTTTGGCCTATTCTTAAAACCGATACTCCTTTTCTTCCTCCATTAACAAGATAAAAATAACAAATCTTAATTTTAACCAAAAAGAAATGCTTATTAACTGAGCCTTGTCTGGTGTGGGCTGAGTGAAGTGAAGTGCTGGCAAAAAAAAAGAGGTACAGGTATTGCTATCTTGGTGAGGACTACATAGACAGCATTTACAACAGCTTTGCCTCAATCTATGTTCGTTCTTCTTACTGGGAAAAAAAAAACGTGGACATGCTAACTTCATTAAAAACACGGCGCTCCAGCGTGAAGGTCATATTTGAGGCCTGGTCACGCCCCCTTAACATGCTCAAAAACTCACCGTTTTGATAACTTTTAATCCCCCATGTCTTAACAGCCTACTGACTGAGTTTGAAGCCGATTGGTCGAAATCCCTAGGAGGAGTTCGCAAAAGTTCGACGTGAGCGAAATTGAAAATYGGCAAGTGAAACTGAACACACCGCTGTTCTCTCCCCTCATAGTCTGAGACAGAGGGCAGATACAGCTAATTAGAGTTAAAATACATTAAAAGTTGAAACCTCACACCTGTTGTTGTTGTTGTTGTTGATGTTGTTGTTGTTGTTGTTGGCACACAGTCAGGGAGGGAGCGGCAAGGCTTGCGAGATCTCAAATCTGCTGAATTGGCCAAACGCATGAACGTATCGGCCGATACAAGGAAAAAAAACGCAAATATCYGCCAAAAATATGTTCCGGCCAATGCATCGGTCGACAAAAAGTGTTTGTACATGTTCATTCAAAACGCACCTAAATCTGCACCAGTCTGTTTCATTATGTTCAGACTAAATGGATTTTGGAAATCATTGCGAGGGTTTCATGTTACTGCAGAGCCAGATTTAAAATTTTACAACCATGAAAATCAAAGAGTTTGGATCATTACACCACTACTGGGAAGCAGACRGTCACCTAAAATAATTGACGTATAATTTTTTGCAGTAACCCTGCCACGAAATGCTTTTACAAGCAAGATAATTCAACAAATGGCCGCCTGTCGTTGAACAAACAACATCAAACAATCAGGCTAAAAGGCTTCTTTGGGCGTCATCAATAGATTCTATATTCCTCCTGAACAAAGGGGAGTGTAGAGGGTTATTATGTCACTTATAGCATCTGATTAATGTTCAACATTAATCTAATTGATGTGGTGTAAAGTAGTCTTTGTGCACATCATATTTCCAGTGTAATGTCTTGTTTTCTATTATCTTTTCTCAGGATATAATCAGAGTCCACTTTGCCCTCCTGCGGGCCATCGACCTGAACATGGCCAGTGGAGGCAGCGGCCTTGGGAAGATATTCCTCGACTTTAAAGAAAGGTTCGTGTCCTGAAATCATTCCCGTGTGTTCGAACATGTCGCTCTCTTTGTGTGTTCATGACCCGCAACACTACAATCCAGTTACATCCTAAAGGTAGAAGCTTTTGTCTGCCCTTTAACCACAGAAGGGCGGCATTGAGTTGAGTATCTACAAGCCACTGATGGGATTAATGTTCAAAAATAAGTGAATTAAATATAGAAACTGTTTTTGAAGAAAAGAAAAGCTGAGAGAGCATGCAGCCAATTGTCTCATCTGACCCAAAACCATCAAAGTAAATGGATTCGCTTCTTAATGATCTTGTCAGTCATGGTTCTATGTCTCTTTTTAATTCAAAAGATCATTTTTTTACACAATGTTCTTCTTCATTCATTATTCATATCTTGTGTATTTTGGTTGTATAGATTTGAGTTTATTAAAATGAGCAGCAGAGGGGTCATCCAGTGGTAGAGTGGTTTGGGTACATTTCACAAAAGCACAAGTGCCATCAAGCAGTGAATCCCTGGTTTGACTACAGGCCAGCTGGACTTTTATTACATGTCCCTCTTCTGTTTTTTCTTTCTTCTCTTTCTTTTCCACTACTCTCAAAAAACAAAACAACAAAAAAAGGCTTTAAGTATGCACCAAAAAACACTAATCACATGCTGTATCTTTTCTGGGCAGTACATTGGAAAACAAGTGTTTTCATGCRAAAATGCAGTGTGAATGTTTAATGCTKAAAGTTGCTGAAGTCAAACTGAAAATGTTTAAWAGCAAAACTGGTAATGTGAGCTGAATTTAAACAGCTGATTTTTGTTGAAAGTAGGAAAACCAAAGTTAAAAAAATCGCATAAATGTGTCCAAAACAGCTAAGTAGCTAAAATTAGCAGAAGATAGTAAATATTTGCAAAATAGTTGCTTGAAAAACCAAAAAAAAAAAAATGTTTAAATTACCAGTGAGAAGTTGCAAGAAGATTTACAAGAATTTACAAACAAAATGTATTAAATTAAAAGAATGAAGCTGAAGTGTGGACAAAAGAATGCAAAACAAGCAGAAAATTTTATTAAAAATTATTTTTTGACCTGGAAATTAATAGGGGTCATCATTGAAAGGGCACGTTTGCGGAGTTAAGCGGTTAGAAGCTGAAAATAATATAAAAAGATTTATTTAGCTGAAAAAAGGGCTAAAAATTAGCTGAACATGGCTGAAAAGTAGCTTAAAAAGCTGTWATTAGCAGAATGAAAGTTGAGCTTGTTCACTGAATTAAGCTGAAAAAAGCTGAAATAACTACTAAAGTATGAAATTAAGAGGAAAAAACAAAACAGCTGAATGAAGCTGAAAGGAGGACATAACAGTAACAAGTTGGGGGGAGCAAAACGAAGTTGAAATGAGTTAAAAAATAATTGAAAATGCTGAAAACAGCTAAAATGATCAAGAGAGAAATTGAAATTAGCACAAATAAGTTAAAAAGCTGACAGTACAGTAAAGATCTATAAACCTTTTAAATTGTTTTAAGGATGTTGCAGACAGCTGTGTTCATTTTCAATCAGAAAACAAATGCCAGTAAAAGCTAAATATCTCACAAAGTATAGATTGCTGAAACACCAAAAGGCATAACTGGAATGTCATGAAAGAGCTGATACATAAATTGTTGAAATAACACAAAATTTGCAGAAAGAAAAATGGATCATCTCAATAGCGTGAACCCAAATATCCACATTAGACACTCAATGTTTCATTTCTTAAAATGTCATGCAGTGGGATTTTTCACCAGAGTGCAGACAGGAAAGCACAGCGAAGGTGTTGAGGGGGAAAGACTTTGGGGATAAATAGGGATTTCTCTTTGATCACCATCGTGCACAGCTGCAGAGCAACGTGTGGATAATTTGCACCCTCGACGGGAGCAGTGATTTGCCTCCCTGCTGCGCCGAGAGCGACTGCCTCATAGGTAATGGTAATGATGGTGATGATAGGTTCTGGCTCGGGTCATGATTCCGTACTCAGCCTCAGAAACAGGCAGCCTCCTCAAATAATGCAGCCATTACTGCACAAGTGAGTCACTCACCTCTCTGCATGTGTGCGTAAGTCCCTGTTCTCGCATATCTAAGTAGATATTATTGTTCTTTAGAGCAGAGATTCTTAACCCATGGGCCTTGGCCCGATTGTGGGCTGCAAGCACCACCTTGAGGGCCTCAAAAGAACAACAGTTTTTAACTTTGGGCCACAGAGGGCCGTGGGACCGCATTGATTTTGAATAAGGTGCAATACACTTTCTCACCACTAGTAGCGGTAGTGCACCACTCAGATGTTTAACATCTTTTTTAATACGTAGAAGAAGAAACTTAGAAACCTGCCGAGAATGGAAAACTATTTTAAATGAAAAGTAGAAGCAAAAATGAAGGCAACCCATCAAAAAATGCTAAAGGTTGTCACTAATATGAAGTGCAGCTTCTGGTTTTACCATGCAATATTCTAAAAGTTCAAAACATTATCACATACAGTTGCAGATACAGCTATATTTTAATTTGCACTTTATCAAAAATAGTTTTTGTAGTTTATTTTTAAACATTTTGAATGTATTTAAAAAAACTTTAAACTTGTCTAAAAGCTGTTGTTACTGTAATTGTTTGTCACTACTATGAAGAGCAGCTTCTGGTTCTACCATGCAAAAGTTTAAAAAGGCTTGATTTCTATTTATACTTTATCAAATGTAGTTTTACAGTTTTTTATTTGAAAGATTAAACATTTTGAATGTATTTATTTTATGAACACAATTTTTTTATTGAATTGTCTATTTTTGTTATTGTTTGTTTAAAAGTATATATTTTTTGTGTTGATAAGCCTGAGTGGTCTGTTGACTGACCTTTGTATTTGTTCAAATAATTGTTATGGGCAGGTTACAATATTAAAAAAAAGTTTGTCATAGTCATGTCTTGTGACAGATTTACTTTTAAACTGTGTGTATTTAATTTTGTTATAATGCAAATACAATACAAATTAAACCTAGATTTAGAATAATTATCATTTTGATCCATACATTGGTAATGTCTGACTGGGCCTCGTGTCACTTTATGTTAACAAATTGGGCCCCAATATTAAAAAGGTTAAGAACCCCTGCTTTAGAGCATGTAGCAGTTTTTGTTTTCCTCTCGACGTTTCCAACTTTAAACCATTGCAGTATTTTTTAAAACTAAAGCCAGTCCAGTCTCACCTGCAGCCTTGCAGAAACAGAGTAAGAGATTAAAAACAGCTTAACATTTACCCTCCTTTCATAAACAAATTTTCCAATGTCACTCCGCCCATTGTTGCCGTTTACCTTTCCGTGACATTCTCCAAAATGTGACGCCGGGTTATTTTAAGTAAAGGACTCATTTGATTTGCGGGTGATTGACATGTATACCTTCCTCATTTCAAGCCTCCTCGCAGTCCTGCGTCTCTGCGGTGAAAAACAACCGCAACCAGGGGATTTGGACCCGTGCAGCCCAGCTTTTCTCAGGCATCTCAGCAGTTTTCCTCGGGACTCGGCTCGGCGTAATTAATTTGGTTATCTGTGCTTGTAAGTCGCTGTGACCTTTGCAACAATGTGCTTGTATTTATTTTTTCTTCTTTCTTCTCCCTTCTCATTTGAAGCAAAAGATGAAAAGCCCTTTTTATGTGTTTGTCATTGAACTGGAAGCCATGCTGAAAATGTCACTGTTTTATCTTCCCCAGTTCTTAAACAGCCAGGCCCGGGCTGAATGGGGGAAAAAAAGTGCACTCAAAGGAAGCCCTATAAACCAAATGGGCATCTAAATGCCCTCTTGTTGATATACTCATTTGCAACATTCTCCAACTCATTTCYGGAGTAATTTGGCTCCCAGATATCCAGGCGGCGCCTAATCATAGTCACACTACGAGCCTCTTTAGAGAGGGTCTTTGCTCTGTGTTCTCCTTCATTTGCTGTTTGCTGGTCTTGTTGAGTGGAGGTGAGGGGGTCCCAGTGCCATGTGTCACAGAATATTAACCGGCTCCACAGCCTGTCACTTCTGCTTTACTCGGAGATCTCCTCAGCCGTCTGACTCAGCTTGCTGCACTCCACGAGGGCGAGGATGAATGCCCAGGGCGCCGTTACCCAAAATTGTGTTTTTTTGTGAAATAACATGCACAGCGGCATCCTCATTATGGAAGAGGCCAGCACAGCAGGGTAATATCACCAGCAAAGAAAAGAATAGAAGTTTTAAGTGCTTCACCAAAACCCCAAAGGGAAATTCATCTCAAACATTTGTCTTGTTTCGAAGTTGCTGCTTTGCTTGTTCTGTTACTCGTCAGCCATGCAGGCGAAATTTGCCAGCTGGACAGACGTAGAATGTCTAACAACACTCGTTAACGTTTGCCAATTTACTTTCCAAGCAAGTTTTGTCTTTGTTGCTTCCCTGAATATATAATCCCCACCCTTAATCATCTTCAAGTATTTTGTATATATTTGGCCATAAAGTCTGGCTGCGTTCGGTTTATTCAAGAAGACAATAAACATTGGCTCAGATATGCGACGGAAAGCGAAAACAAAGCATTGTTTTGAGCCGAGGAACTTGGAGATGAATCTAAATGTCCTTCCAACTTTCTGGACAATCGCTCTACCTTCTGAGCTCCAGCTGCCTTTATATTTTAAAGAGGACATATCTTACAAAATTCACTTTTTTTGCCGTTAAATACATTTTGTTGTGGACCTGTTGACATTTTGGCCCTGCATAGATATTTTTATATTCTGTTTGGATCATATTTTTCAGCATTTATTCTCTCTCTACTCTGAATTATTACATCAAATTATCTGCGACGGAGTGGACCGGTCTGGAAGCCGGAGGGAGGCGGGGCTTGAAGCGCCTTGAAGGAACAGTAAGAAAATCAGCTACTTTGTGACACACCTCAGAAAAGGGGTGAAAGTGGGGCTGGTGAAGTTAAAATAAGGAGGAATTCAGACCAAAGCACTTTATAAAGACCTTAACTGAATGATTTAAATGTGGGAAATGATTTAAAAGCATCAAA